CTATCCTCATCTTCAGGGCAGATGTTTTTATTTTATTCGGCTTACTAACGTAGTATTTCATCTCGATGTACTGAAGTACTCAGTCTTTGATTTGATTTAATCAAATTCCTCGTCATTATAAATATCACGAATACACATCAAATAGTTTTCTGGTTGCAATTTTCTAATTTCAACTACGCGTAAAGTATGCTTTATGCATGCGCACCTTGAAAGAAATGCTTAATAAAGTAAACAAATAAATATTAAGCTTTTTTTTTTTTTTTTTTTTTTTTGTAAATTTTGATACCCTTTAGATAATAATTGCTCTTTATTTCATAAATTACAGTTTCACATTTTTAATTTTATAATTTCTGCATACTATCTTACCAGATTTAAATTGATGATCTATAATTCGGAAAAACCCCTAATTGCCGAAGTCCCGATTAAAGACATTGTTCTGTATATATATATATATATATATATTAATTATTGAATGATATATTAATAATTTTGTCATCTTTCTAGCAGCAGCAGGAGACTGGCAGTCTCCCAGTAAAACCAGAAGAGTTAATCCATTTCATGGTTAAAAAAATCCAAACAATCCAACAGATGTTAATAATCACCAAGATAAAAATGTTTTTGTATTTTATGAAAAATACTACTTTGCTAATGACATCAATAAAATCTGCAGAGCCTAAAAAAAAAGGATGATGACTTATGAGATTCAAACTGTCTAAAAATTTGCTGGAACATTTCTGAAACAATCAGCATTATAAAAACTTCCAAGAAACTGAATTTGGTATACTGAACATGATTAGTTCAGGCAAGAAATGAAAACTATAAATATGATGATATATAATTAATATGTACACTGTGCAAAAAAAAGTGAAAGTTCTGTATCTCCCGTTCTACTTGGCTGATTGACGAAATTCAAATTGCGTTTTTCGTTTCTCGAAAGCAACACTTGGGTCCGATTGTGTCAAAATACTTACATTAGAAATTGTTCTAATATAGGTATTTTGACAGGACTTTTTCTGAAATGACATGCAATTTTTTTCTAAATTTCGATTCTACGACTCAAATTATGCATAAATATAAAATTTTGTAAAATTTGGCGCAAAATTTACAGAGAAATTCAAAAATTTACCTATTTTCCTTTCCTTGTAAAGAAGTGGAAGAAAGGTCACGGTTCAAACATGACACCAAGCCTGTTACTAGTTCAAGCATGACATGATATACACAAAAAGCATATATAGCCTATTTTTACATATGTCTAATATGGTGACCAGACAAAAGCCCACTGGGATAATTGTCCACGCGACTAATACCCACACCGATGAAAGTGCACATTGATAAAACCCACGCTGATAAAAGCGCACATAATCAAAAGGGACTTATGCTTTTTAAAATTATTTTTATATACAGTCAAAAGTCGTTAATTCGGACACCCATAATTCGGAATGATCTATAATCCGGACCTCAAAGCTAAAAACTTTCTGCGCATGCGCCGCGTTGACACATGCGCACAGGCATTTACGCGTGCGCATAAGACCTCTTACAACTGCGCATTTGCGTGTGCGCAAGTGCAGAATACGTTTTCACATGCGCGTTTTATGTATAATGGACGGTGTAAGCTAAAAATTATCTATTTCAGTTAATGTTGATGATTGCGTTGTTCCTTAATTTTCGAATTGGATCCGGCTTATTATTTTTTGCAGACTGTAAGAGCAATACTATAAAAGTAAACTTGAACTTTCGATTATGTCAAATAGAATTTTTGATTCTGGAGCTCCCAAAGGATCGTACAAAACGAAAGTATGTTTCGATGTCCATCAAACAAAAAGTGGAATTGCTGCAAAAAATGGATAAAGACATGAAGAATGTGACAGAGAGGTTAGTGAAAACGAAAAAATTTCGATTGACAAGTTAGTCGGTATTCTCGGCACAGCAATTAACGGGACTTGAACAGCGGAACTTTGTAAGTGAACAAAAAATTATATCTGTTTATAGAATTATAGAGAAAGTATTATCACATAAAACGAAGCAACGCAACTTAAACAACTTACATCGAAAGAAATGTTTAATAAAGTAAACAAATAAATATTAAGCTTTTTTTGTAAATTTTGATACCCTTTAGATCATAATTGTTCTTTATTTCATAAATTACGGTTTCATATTTTTAATTTTAGAATTTCTGCATGCCATCTTACGCGATTTAAACTGATGATCTATAATCCGGAAAAATCGATAATCCGGAATCGCCGAAGTCCCGACGAGTCCGGATTAACGACTTTTGACTGTATTTATAATTTTAATTATAATAAATGGTGTATTCAGATCTGAATTCTAATGTCTCAAATATGTCTGTTTGTATATTTTATCACTACTTTGTTTAATTTATTAGGTTGAAAGCAAACTTTCTACTCTCTGATTAAGTGATTAGCTATAACGTTTCGATGATAAATCTGAAATTGCATTTTATTATTTATTTACTTATTTAACTTTGGTATGTGTATGTGAAAATGAAAAATATCATTGTGGAGTTTCTCACATGCTATTTTCAAGGTAATATGGCCGAGATTAAATATAATTATGCTTTATTATTAAAACTATTAACTTTTTAATTAAAAACACTTGAATTTTATTTTATTTCTTTTTAGCTTTTTCCTTTAGTTCCTTTTTAGTTTAGGAATATTAAAACAGTTAAGCACAATGAAAACTTGGCTAAGAGATATTTTATTCTTTACTTTACACACAAAGTTTAAACATATTTCTCATTGAAAGCTGTTTTGAATGTAACAATTATAATTTGGCGATTTTCTAGAGATATTTTCTTTTAGATTTCTGAATAAATTAAAACTGTCAGGGGACACCATGTCAGAAAATGAATTCCAAATGTAACCTTTTAATCTTTCAACTAATTTTTGCAATTTGGAATAGTTTTTTTTTAAATTTTCATTTTATTTATTTATTTTTTGGGGGGATGGAACAACTCTTATAAGTCAACATGGGTACAAATTTAAGTTTAATCACCTCAAACTATAGTAATAAATACATAGCATTTTATTAGAGATTGTGAAGAGGGCAGAGAACAATGCATATAATAACATCTAATAAAATTTTGTCACTGCATAAATTTATATTTATAGTCATTATATCCAAAGTTCATCGTTTTTAGATTCTATGTATCCATATTATATAAATTCATCATTCATTCATAGCATTATATATAGTAATAGAAAATTAGTATTAATGTTTCAAATTGAAATTTTTTAATAATTTGTCTGGCATTTGCTGTATATTTGTTCAAGACACATGGATATCAGTTATATAACATGGAAATTATACAGAAAGCAGCTAATCTTATATAACAGCTGATTGTGAAAGAAAAATTACAGTGCTTTTAAATCTCCCTATTGTAAAAAGCTGTTTTCTAATTGACATTACATTTTAAATTAATTCCATTATCCATTAGAAAATAATTCTAGTGAATTATATCTATTGACGACATTTCTAAGAGGTTGCCTTTTGAAGAGACGTGCATTTTTTGTGAACATAAACAAAAATTGACAGCGAATATCACATTTCTAAGACCACCATATCTACAACCAAAATCCTTTAAAACCGTGAACTGAATAATTGTTACATTCAAAAGAGCTTTCAATGAGAAATGTTTAAACTTTGATAATAAGCTCAGTCTAAAGTAAAGAATAAAATATCCCTTAGTCAAGTTTCATTGTGCTTAACTGTTTTAATATTCCTAAACTAAAAAGGAACTAAAGGAAAAACTAAAAAGAAATAAAAAAAATTCAAGTGTTTTTAATTAAAAAGTTAATAGTTTTAATAATGAAACATAATTATATTTAATCTCAGCCATATTACCTTAAAACATAGCATGTGAGAAACTCCAAAATATTTTTCATTTTCACATACACATACCAAAGTTAAATAAGTAAATAAATAATAAAATGCAATTTCAGATTTATCATCGAAACGTTATAGCTAATCACTTAATCAGAGAGTAGAAAGTTTGCTTTCAACCTAATAAATTAAACAAATAAAGTAGTAATAGAATATACAAACAGACATATTTGAGACATTAAAATTCAGATCTGAATACTCCATTTATTATAATTAAAATTATAAATACATAAAAATAATTAAAAAAGCATAAGTCCCTTTTGATTATGTGTGCTTTTATCAGCGTGGGCTTATATCTATGTGCGCTTTTATTAACGTGGGCTTTTATCAGTGTGGGCTTTCATCAATGTGCGCTTTCATCGCTGTGGGTATTTGTCGCATGGGCAATTATCATAGTGGGCTTTTGTCCAGTAGGCTTTTGTCTGAGAACCGTCTAATATAATACAGGAAATAATAGTAAAGACTGGTCTCAACTAAGAGAAAATATTGAAAAGGCTGTTTGAAATTCTAAGCGAACTCTTTTAAAAGAGTAAAATAATAAAAATATTGGTACGACTAAGGGACAAATACCAAGTTTTAAAAAATGCTACGTAATTTAGCAGAGTAAATAAATTAAAACAGTTAATATCATGACAAGCTCAAATTATTAGTCAAATATCGAATGAAAATGTAAATTTTATACTTCATATTTTATAGTTAACAGCATCAATATATCTTCAAAATCTTACATAAAATATCATACAAATTATACTCAAATAAATTTTTAAATAGCTTATTATTTTCTGTTTTGATTCTTGGTTTTTTTCTTCTTAAAATTAAGAATTTTCAACATCATTCTTTAGAGAATACAAAAACACACATTTCACATTCATTTAAATGACAATGGATATTTTTAACTAATTAGAATCAAACAAATTATCATCACATATCTATCGATATGGCTACAACAAGAAACAAAAAATTCATCGAAATGGGTGAGGGAAAAAAGGCTCTACTGCTCTATTTAAAAAAAAAAAAAAAAAGATTATAACCATCACAGAAGTTAAAAAAATAAATAAACTATTAAGATTAAAAAAATGATTTAATCAGAAAAAGAAAACTAGAATTGTCACAAGGTTTTTATTTTTTGCTTCATAATCAAGCATATACATTTTTCTAAAAATATTACAACACGAAAATATTTACTTTTCTTCTACGTCATTGTCATTCAGATTTTATAGCCTTGATTCACATGACTGTAATGCAAAATTTCAAAACCAACGATCAGAGAAAAATATGATAAGTAAATTTCTATACAAGTTCACACATATCCAGAGAGATTACAAATCAAATCTTTTAAAGTACATTTATTCAGCTAGACTTCTATGAGGCTCATAAAAAGCCTTGGGGGGGGAGTGCAGAATGATTAAAGGGTAATAAACCAAAATATATAGAAGAAAATCATTTGTCACAGAAACGTAAATATTTTCTTCGAATAACCGGCTTTTGAATTTCGAATAAAACACTGAACATTTTAAAGTGCACAAAAAGAAAACAGAATACAGTAAATAGAGCAAAAAGAGAAAACAAAGTTCCAACAGAAACATAAAATATAAGGAGCTTTGTGGCACAGATTTCTTTTATAACTAATGCTCCATGAACACATTTATTTTCACAGCAAACTATATAAAAATGCATGATGTCAGACTGCTCAATAGTAATAAACAGTAAAATTTATTTCACTAAATAAAAGAATAAAATTTTAAACCTTGCAATAAAATTCAAATTCTCATAACTTAAAATCATTTCATGTTTTAAAAAAGATGAATACAAAGCAATTAAAAGACTTGTTTTATTTATTATCACAAAAGAGATATTTGTGAATTTTTTTTTAAGTGCAGCACACATGAATTGTTTATGTGTACAATAATGTTGTCAATTTCACTGACAAAAAAATGCTTTGTTTGAATTCACAAGTATAAAAATCCTTTAATAATTCTCAATCTTCCATCTAATACCTGATACAAAAATTCTAATACAAATTAAGTAGACAATATTTTTAGTATAAATAACCAATTTAAAAATTTTATTTGCAATATCTATCATAAAAACATTTCACATTATTTTGACTATCACATTTTTTTTTTTTTCAAAATTATTTATTGTTGTAAAAAATAAAAAGAATGAGAACAATTTTCCATTTCATGGACAAAGAGATGCAACTTCCAAAAACAAATATATACTTCACATTTAATAAAGGAGAAAACTTTTACTGACTGCATCAAAAATTTAAATAATTGCATAATGTATTAGGTATTAGAAAACTTATTACTGCAATTACATCAGGTAGCAATTAGTTGTTCATTCCACGGGCTACAAAATGAAATATTGCCTTTCACACCATGCAGTTATATTGAGTTCTAATTTTGTGATACAGCTGCTATACCTCGCACAGATGTTTGATCTTCTTCCTGGTGAAAGAAAAGTTATAAATTAAAAACAACAGTTTAAAATCATTAAAAAAAATTGAAAGGCAAATTTCTGACTTCTGCAATAACTTTTCATTATTAATGATAATCGTGGTTTCATAATGCTGTACTCATCTGCATGGGAACAAGAAATTAACAATCGTCTATACTACTGCAAAGTACAGTACACCTAACTCACAACTGGCACTTAAAAGCTTTCCACACAGCTTTGGAAATGAATGGAAGAGAGGAAACAAGGCCATAAAAGCAGCAAGATTATTGTTCATATCGGTCATAAGTGCCTTTGCAGAATAAAAAGATTAACTATCTGCTAGCAGACATGAGGCGATTAGCAAGTGGCCAAGGTCAATCTGACATTAGGTAATTTAGGCCACACAGTACAAATAGGATGCTGTATTTTCATGTTCTATAATGCATATGTCTATTAAGGTATGCCAGAACCAATTTTTGGCTTGGTGCTGTCAGAAAGGCAGAAAAGTTCTAAATTCAGTATCTTCTAAGGCAAATAGAAACAATTATACATTGATGAATGTGCACAACAGTGGTCATTTGAAGGTGAACCAGGAACTAGTAAAGATGCAACAAAGTGACTATTGGTCCTTCTGAAGAGATTCTGGCAGAAACTGGCACATGAACTGGGAAAATCTAAAAGCAGATGCCAAAAGGCTGACCATATTGACAAACTTCTTTCATTAAGGCTGAAACTCAGTAATGAAACAAAAAGGTAGTTTCAAGATTTCATCGCAAGAAATCCTAATATTCTGCAGAAAACATGGCTTACGGATAAAACACAATTCCCAAGTAAATTCAATTTTTTAATTTCCCTGACTTTCCATAAAAAATTTAAGCAATTTCCCTGATAAAACATAACATCTTGAAAAAAGAATTTGACCACCAAGGTCTTTTGATTTTCACTCCCTGATTTCTTTCTGCGAGGCATATTAAAAAGGTAAAGAGCATTAAAGAAAGAAGGATGGGAAATTAAATTCCTCTTTTCACTAAGATACTGAGTCACTAATCAATTATCAATTATACTCATTAATTTTTAACTCCAATTCTCACTTTTGAAGAAGGCTTAAAAACCTCATTTCTAACATGCTAATATATTTGTTCCCCTTTTCTGAACTTTTTCTATAGGTCACACTGCATATGCAACTGCATGCTATGAAAAGCATACAAAGAATATTACATTCAGTTTAAAAACCATACACCATACTGTCTCTCAAAATATGCATTTAAAAAAAGTAATGTCCAATTTTAAATCGACAGTTTAAGAAATTCTGTAATTCTACAAAATTAGCCTGTGAATAATAATAATCAATATATATTTTATTTCCGTAGTAATCCCTCTTTTCCCTTAATTTTTATGATAAAGCCTGATGAAATTAGCATAATCAAAGAGAGATTTTTATTGTTTACAAATAACTTTCCTCTTTAACGTACAAAAATATCACAATGCATAATAATAAAGGTTTGAAAATTAAATACAAGAATATCCAGGAATAAGGAGACCATAAAGACCTGATTCCTGAACATCCATGAAGATATGACTGAACCATCAAGCAGTATAGAAACCACCATCGAGTTTTCACAGATGCTGCCACTTAAACATGCCGAAGAGTTTGAAAGCAATTTTTGAATTTTTCATGATACCTTTAATTCATAATATACATAATTTATCCGTAACTGTTTTATTATATATATATATATATATATATATACATGTTACATACTTCAGTAGAAAATAATAGTTTTGTATAATACCTAAAAGTGTTTGAGATGCAATCAAGAGGCAACATTAAAAATTTTTCTTTAATAAGTGGCAGTTAAATCATCAACAACCAACTAAATGCTGTCTCCCCCCCAAAAAAAAAATCCTGATAATGAATGTGAATTACTATAACTGTTAAATACTGGTATTGCAGCATCATTCAATATACTGAATTTAACAAGACAGCCTTTCTGTGTGTATATATATATATTAATTATACATTTAAAATATTTCTTTTCCTTGTTTTACACATTAATATTAGGTTGTTTGTTATTTCATTTCAGTTTTCTAAAATGCCTCTTCTTTTTTTCGCATAAGTGAAAAACAACTCTTCACATTATTACAATTATAAAAGATATTTCTGACATCCTATGTTACATACTTCAGTAGAAAATAATAGTTTTGTATAATACCTGATTATATAATAAGTATTTGAGATGCAATCAAGAGGCAACATTAAAAATTTTTCTTTAATAAGTGGTAGTTAAATCATCAACAACCAACTAAATGCTGTCTCCCCCCAAAAAAAATCCTGATAATGAATGTGAATTACTATGTTAATCCCCCAAAAAAATAAAATTCTAATATAATGAATTTCTATAAAAGTTATCAGCACATTTAATATAAATTTAACAAAAAGCCTTTCTATGTATATATAATTAAAAAAATATTCTTAACTTGTTTTAATATTAGGTTGTTTGCTATTTCATTTCAATTTTCTAAAAGTCCTTCTTTTTTTCGCATAACTGAAAAACAATTACAATAAGATGCTACAAACTCAAGCAGTAAATAGTAAATTCTAGAACATATTCTGCTTATTAATTGATTATAATAAGGAAAATGAAGAGATATACTGTAACAGAACCTGAATAAAATATAAACAAAAAAATCAAAATAAGTATCAAAGGAAAGCAACTTTCCATACAAACTATATCCTTTCTTTTTTAAAAAAACAAGTACAGTAAAAGTACAGAAATCTGCAAAGCTAGGGACCAGAGGTTGTGCAGATTTTAGGATTGTGTGGATTTCAGGACAGAAAAGATAAAGCATAATTCGGACTAAAAGTGCAAAATAAATAAGGCGTATTAGATACATTTCATTACATAATTATATGCATTAAATTATTATTATATATATAAATTGATTATATTATTCATTGTGTTATATGTACACAGTACCGAGGTTTGCCAATTTCGCCTCATGCAAAGATTTCCGGTTTCGGATTCTGGTGTTAGAATCACTGTTGCTGTAAAATTTCAACAGCTTTTCTTTATTTTTCTGTATATAATACACAATCATGTTGCAATTCCATACCATTCTGCTACAAATTGAGGAGTAGCACCTGCCGCCATCTTTTGCAGAATTTGCACTTTTTGTGTTACCGTAAATATTTGGTAAGTATTTTTTCTTCAATATTTCGTACTCAATGTTGCGGTTTCCAGAACCTATACACCGAATGTTTATATTTTGAGAGGCAATGCGGATTTTCGGTATTTGACTGCATATGAAGAATTTATTAAATGAAAAAAGTATTTGTTCCATTTCAGACAATAAAAGTTATATCTACATGTGTTAAGAAAATTTATTAATCTCTAAAATATATGCATTTTTATTTACTCTGACTAATGACATTACAAACTTCAACAATGTTAAAATAATTACTAAATGGATAAAAGCCAAATGCAGAACATTCTGCGAAATAAAAAAAAAATATATTGCATACCTTACAAATTCTGTTTACAGGCAATGCAAAGCACATCAATCTTAAATAGTTTCACCCTTTGAAAAAAAAAAATCCAATTTTTATTCAGCACTTTTCAAATTTATAATTAATTAAATAAAAAGTTAATGAAAAGTATATACTAAATCATAACTTCAGCTTAATTTAAATTTCAGTTAAGAAACATTAAACGGATATAAAAAAAATAGTATTCATAGATTAATAATAAATAAATATAAAAAAACATGTACAATATAACAGGCAGAAAAATCTACATCAAATTTGATTTGCCCTTAAATTACTACAAAGTATATTATGAATACAATCTACAGCAAAACGTGTCAGCAATCAACATGAAAACATTTTTACAACTTTGAAACTGTGCATGTAATGAATGTATGCTTTAAATGCATATTTAATTTTCATCTTATTAGTCAAGTAGCAATATTAGAAAATCTGTTAATGTATTACTGAAGTAAATATTTTAAGTTGCAGATAACTGTAGAAGAAATATCTTTATGGAGTTTTTGGATTCTAATATCTAAACGAAAATTAAAAAAAAAAAAAAAAAAAAAAAAAAAAAAAAAAAAAACATACAATTAACAATGAAAGTATTTAAATTTCATTTATAAATTACAAATGTAATGATTTATAAGCAGCATGCTTCTCAAGCTTAACATATTTGCTGTCGATCACATGCTGGTTGCGGAGCACGCCTCAATTGTAAGCCACGAGCTGGTGCGGGAAAAGCAACACCTCATTGTTTATTCTCCAGTTGAAGTGCCATTACGTTTTGAGTATGATTGCTGGTATTGGCACAGAGTAAACGTTAAAAATTAGTTTCAAATTAAAAGAAAATTTAGCATTGTGCAAAGATACACAAATAACATTCTGAAATAATAGTAGTAATTTGTCATACTATTGCTGTGTTTCCTGTATGGGTACGTGGATTTGGAGTGATTAACAACAACCCTTTATGAAGAATGAGACACAAATTTATTTAGCCAGTATTACTCAGGATAGCTTCAAAGTCACATTACCATTGTCGAAAGACTACGACAAGCAGGCTGAAACAATCAGCAACACAGCCTTCAGGCTATAAATTCAGGCTATTTATTACCTCTTATAATATGTAAGTTGGTATTTGGGTGCAATCTACTTCTATATCAGGGGATTAACCATAAACACAACCTGACATAGCTGGCAGCAAAAATGCTAACTTCCCACTTAGATAATTTTTTTCTATAACATAGTTCTTCATGCCTATAGATTTGCTTTTTCAATGAGAATGCCTTCAAGAAATTTTGCACCAAATTTTGCTAAAACGCAGTCTGAGAAAAAATTATTTCGCAGGTTGCATTTGAATGAGGTATTTTTTTTGCAAAGTTAAAATTTGGCAGATTGCATTTAAAAGCTGTTTTCAATGGTCAGAAACTGAAACAGGAAGGCTGTATTCAATTAATAATGGAACAAAACAGCATTTAGCTTTATAACATCCATTTCATTGACCATAAAGATATCTGATATTTCTTTCATTTTTATAACACTAATTTCTTCATGCCTTTGAGAAAGTACATAACAATTAGAGTTACCTCTTATACTATGCACAACAGAAAAATCTTTGCTGCTATCGTTTACACGTGCAACACAATCTTAGCTGGCACTCTGCCAAAACACTTAGAATCACCCAAAAGAGGTGTTAATTACGTGCTGCGGAGTGAGGAGAGTCACCTGAGAGTTTGCTCTCTGCCGAAAAGATAGATTTTACTATCAAAAGAGGAAAAAGTTCCCATGTCATCAGATAATTCTGTCATCACACCTTTATTACGTATTCACAGAAACTAAAACTTGCAAACCCCAAAACCAAAAATCCTAATCCTCCCATAATATATGAATTTTATGTAAACAGTGCATATTTCATTGTTTACTTTAAAAAATAAGATCACTGAAACTGGTGGCAATATATTTTTTAATGGAAGTATTCTTTTGCTAAACAACAGGATTTTGCCTCATTTAAGTGGAATCTTCCCTGATCATAGTTGATTTATAATGACATTTATACAATGTGATATTTTATACAAAAACACTTTTTGCTTGTTTTTTCTAAAATCCACCTCTCTATACATGTATAATAATGAATATAAATTTTAACACAAAAAGCAGTGAGTGATAATGTGCTACACTTTCTTGCTATAATATAGCCGAACAGGATGCAGGATAATCAAATCCTTCACTACAGGACGCTTGATTGCAAATATAGGTCAGAATTTGCTGATGATCTACAGCTGACTACTCTTCAAAATCAACAAGATGAAGTAAACATGTTGACATGACATTACAAGCATTTCACCAATCATCAGATGAATAAGTTGGTTATGTTTTGCAAACAACTTCCCTTGCTCTGCTTTCAGTAAAATTCCCTGTTTTTGGAATTTTCCATAGCTTGCACTTTTTAAGGAATTTCCATAAAAACTACAAACAGTTGCATATAAAAGAACATAGATGATATTTCTAACCTATTTTGTAAAATATTCCTAAAAGAAATAACAGCATTCTGCAAAATACCTGTTATATTTGTTTGTTATATTTAAATTACCTAACAATTTAGTGGGAATTTTCTCAACACGGTAATTACAGGACTTGAACAACAACATTTTGTAACTGAACAAGAAATTATGTCTACCAGTAACATTAAAGGGAAAGTATTAGCACAAAAAATGAAGCAACTTAAACAACTTACAGTGAAAGAAGCTCTTAATGATGCAAACAAATAAACGCTCACCTTTTTCCAATTCCCTTACAGTCACAAATGCTTCATTATTTCAGATTTTTAATTTTACAATTTCTACATGTAATCTTACTAAATTTAAATTAATCATCTAAAATCAGTAAAATTCCCAAAATCTGGAATTGCTGAAGTCCCAGTCTCATATTTTGTACTGCATATGCAGTGGTCATACACTGTTTTCAGATTCTTAACAATCACAGAATTTTTAAAAGCAGCATATCTTCAGAATTCCTGAAAGAGTGTTAAGTGTTGCCATAATTTCTTTTTGAGCCTTTTCTTGTCATTTTAGCTTTATTTATTAAACATCACTTTCTTTGCACTTACACCACATACAATTCAACTACAAAATCTTAAAAATCAGCATTTTCTTTAGAATCTCAACAGACAGTTAATTATTGCCATGTTTTTTAACAAGTGCTATATTATTTATATTATTTCTTTAAAAGTAATACATTTCAGGTATAACTCCTTTTATTTGAAAATTGATATGACTGAACTTGAAAGCTCGTCTTCATGATAAGTTTATTTCCGTTGAATCTAACATAATTCCAAAAATACATTTGATGCTTATACATGTAATATGCATTCTCAATCACATACCTGTTTTAAATACGAAATTTGAGAAGTTTTGGATTTTCTCGCACTATACTTTTTTATGAAAGTTCGTTCAGAGCTCGATAAAGTATCACTTGTGGTCTATCAACTTTAGCCAAAATCTAAAATGTTGTTCCTACTTATAAAAGTCTTAAATATTACAATTGAAAAGTTTGGGATTATATTTTAATATAGTCTTTAATTAAAAAAAACTGTTATGGACTTCAAGTAAACTACCACTTCTGGATGTCCAATTTTATCCAAAATCTGATAAACTCTCTATATAAATGCAATGGAAAATAGAAACTTTTAGAAGTTTCATATAAGAGTTATTGTAGATGAAAAAAATCATCACAAACATACTGACAGACATCATCATAAAAATAGCAAAAATGAGTTATGGGGACCCTAATTCATGCTTATTCATAAAAAACTCAATATTGAATTTTTCAGGGTTGCCACTCAAACAGGAGAATGAAATTTCCTGACTTTTCCAGGTTTTCCAGGTGTGTTTCAAGAAAATTCCAGTCTATCCGCGTAATGTACGTTGGCTGTGCTAAGAGGTAAATTAATTATGGTATTACTTGTATTGTGTAGCAAATTCACTTAATTATTTAATAAATCCCAGAGGACATTTATTCTTAATTATTCTTGGTATACTTTGTTTGATAATTTTGTTTAGTTTTCCACTTAAGAAACTTAATAAAATTTAAGATATATATATTGGATAACAAATGTATGTTTTATTTAATTATTACTCATGATCATCACCAGTTCAACACGAGGCTAATCCGGTCCTTATAAATCACAACACAATGCTAAATAGTTAGGTTAGATTTTAGGTAAATTTAATTTGCGTGAGGTATGTTCTTAAAAGGCACACTTGAAAACACAAATATAATTATAATAGTTGTTGTTTTCTCACTGAAGATTGAAATTAGAATCTTTCCAATCTGGAATAAAATAAGGCTTTTTTTCGCAGACATTCTGCAGCTAAACGAAAGAAAGAAATCTATTTTAATAAATTGAAGTATTTTTATATTTATTTCGCAGCATACAAACGGAAAAAATATGTGCATTAAATTTCATGATGTATGTCATCATACTGCTATAATTAATTTCAGGATTATGCCAGAGAAAATTTCCTGAAATTTGGAAATATTATTTACTAATAATAAATAAATTTAGAGGGAAGAAGCAACATTAAATTATATGAATAACATAAAAATAATTACTTAAAAATTGAATTAGAATAATCAACGATATTTTAGCGAATATAGTTATATTACATGGCTAGCCTAGATGACTGATTACTATTTTTTTATTTTACTGCAAAATGGCAAGGTATTTATTAAAAAGAAAAAAAAAAAAAAAAGGTTTAAAAAGATTTTGCGGTAAAATTCTAGTATACGGTAAGGCTTTGGCACGATTTTGAAAATTGTCGCCAAGACCAAAATGACCCGTTTACTGCGCATCAAGATGTCGCCAAATCCCATTATTATTCTAACCAAACAACGTCTATGTAAAGAAGAAAAGGTTCCATACAAGTAAAATGCTATTACGCCGCTAGAATGCGGAGGGAAAATTTGCCAAGGGATTTGGCGACGGAACCTGGCGGCCAGAATTTCCCTCTCCGCGATGGATACAGGAAATTGAGAAACACGTGTTAAGAAGAAACGCATATTGACAAAAAGAAAACTACGAAAATCCGTTTTTAAATTATTGCTAAAAATCCAAGAAGAAACGTTTTATCAAAGGACGTTTCTTCTTGGATTTTTCGCAATAATTTTAAAAACGGATTTTCGTATTTTTTTTTTTTTTTTTCCCCTGAAAATAACTAATCCATGAATTAATTTACTTGCGCCAAAAAATATTTTCTTTCCCTTTAGAGTTTAACCACTTGCGCTAAGACTAAACTTCACGGTTTGCGGTGCCGTGCGCTACAATATAACAAGCGATAAAGTGTCTCATTTACGCCGCTCCGCATCTGCGAGTGCAATCCAGAGCTGTAACTCGAGAAATAAACAATCTCGTTGTTAGGCGACGTGTGCACCACGTTATTTTCATTTTTGCGATAAATGCTTATCGACGTGGTGTTCACGTCGCTCGCGGTTTGAGACAAAAAATCATCTGACGTGCGTGGCACGTCTTTTTAGCGCAAGTGGTTAAAGAAATTTAAACGATATTCATTTTATGAACTCTTGATAACGTGACCTTCGAACTTCGACACCGGTTTCGAGCTTTGGCGACAGATATATCAGACATGCACAACTGTTTTCCCTCTATGATGGAACGGAGCCACAGCCACGTCTGTTGCAGAGAGGTTTTCCTTCTTTACAATACATATTCTTTGATTCTAACCTCCATGGTACCGTATACTAGGATTAAACCCATTTTGTTTTATACGAGAACAGGTACTTTCTTTAGTTCATGCACTGCACATGCGATTCTCGAGAATACTGGAAACCAAAAGTTGCGGGAAAGTTGCTTTGCCTTTCTAAAAGACAATCAAATTGGAGCTGCGAAAATTGGCTCTGTGCCAGCTACCCGAATGACACTCACGTGATACATAATTCGCCAAAAAAGTTACCTCTTCCGACGTCGGCGCAAAATCGCTTTTTTTGGCGGGATCGTTGTATGAACTTCCCTGACTTTTCCAGATTTTGACAAAAATACTTAAATTCCCTGACTTTTCCCTGAATATTTTGGTCAATTTTCGAATTCCCTGACTTTTCCCGGTTTTCCAGGTAGCGTGGCAACCCTGATTTTTGGACTGAAAACATTACCTCTCAGATTACTGGAAGGTAAATTTTAAGAATACAAATTTAAATTTCTTGCTAAATTCTTTTTATTCTTTATAACATATATAAATGAAATGCTACACAGAAGTTTGCTAAACAGTTAATTAAATGGCTGACTCAAAATTTTACCTGCAGATAAAGAATAGGCTGAATTAAAACACAGACCATTACAGTCTACCCTGAATTTCAGGTATGTTCCCAATACAATTAAAAAAATTGGGTATGAAGATTAACTGATAGACACACAGAAAATATACATAAATTTGAATTTAATTAAGAGAAAATGCTACACCTATTTCTCATTTACTGTGACTGATGTGTCATATGAGAGATACTAACTGCACAGAGCAAAATCTCATAGCAGATTGCTCCTTATAAATAGAAAGAGGCTTTTGCCATTTATATTATAAATATTTTAAAAATCTGGATAACAACACTTTGAAACACAGCAGTCACACTTAACATAATGTGTTTTAGCTAACAGCACTAATAAGTACTTAGCTAATAGTACTTTTCCATTAATAAGGGCACAAGCTGTTACCAGATATAAATGCTGGTGCAAACAGCCTTAAATAATAATGGGAAATTTAATCATACATTCTACGTGCTCAAAAATATAACCATACATGAACATTTAAGAAAAATATTAGAAAAAAATTAAATTTGAACAAAAGGCATAAAACTGCTGATCTCTTAATGTACTAGAAAATACTTGTTTTAGGGAAGGAGGTAAATGTGGCCACTCAAATTTTGCCAAATAAATCTCTAGGTAGCAGCAGATAGTGCAACTTCATCTTCAACAAAATATATTTTTTACTATGAATATTTTTTTCATGAATGGCAGACTCCATTTGGGAACTACAAAAATAGTAACATCTACCTTGGTTTCTTCATTAAAAAATCAGCAATGAGTTAAAATCTCACACATGGAACATGTCTGGATTGGAAAATGATAAATCATAATGCATGGCACATGTTTTCATACAAGGTTGCTATTGCTGCTGTGTTTGTGTACACTGTGCTGGCTGCCCCACTATTAGTAAAATACCCAGATAATACTTTTTAATGCTGTTATTTCTTTAATTTCTTGAGCAATTCTACCATTATTAGACAGGGAATATAATAGGACCAAGTTTATTTTTTAAAATAAGAGAATATTTTTTTAGTTGAAACGTGACCATTTCTATATACAGGAACTGAACCCAACATGCATTTCACACACATTTAGCAGTTTTATTTGCTCAACAAACCAGACTCACACTTTTTATAGATAAATAAACTATTAAACAGCTAAGCTGGTTTAAATTAATTTTGTAATAGATATAATGGGGGAAAATTAGAATCTGATATTTCCTTCCTTTCAAGCCTTCTCCTTTTATCATAATATACAGCAAATTCATACATTTGTAAATCTAAGAGAAAGTACTGATACATAAATGTATAGATCTCCTGCAAATATTTGAAGTCAAAAAAATTCCCATATTAGACATTTCCACCATTTCTAAAAATTTATCTGATCACCAACTTTTTCTAATTACTATTAAAATAGGGTATCTAATGAAATATCTGCGTAGTTCCCCCCTATTGAATGCTATAAGAAACACAAGAAACTATACAAATACATAATATAAAATTATAATTGCTACACTCACCTTTACTGATGAATTGCTTCGTATTTTATTACATACATCTTCCAAAAATGAATGCCTAAAAGAAAAATATTTCAAGATTACAAATATAACACCCTTTACCAATAGTTATCATAAATATATTAGTTTTATCAGTAGTATGCCATATGGAAAATAAAATTTTCAAGCACATTTCTGATGAAAAATCTAACATGTAAAAACTACGTAACTGATTAACACAAAATGTATTGTTATATTCGTAACAAACAACTTCTACAGAAAAATTATGCAAATTATACAAAAATTAAAACAAAAGCAGAATTCATTACAAAACAAATAAATTTAAAAGGGGGGAGAAATTTCTTAAAAATTTTGTTATTTACCTGGAAAAATATCCTCATGAGCTTATTTAAAATAAATAAATTAGTGTTTTATAATGTTAGTGCTTTATAACAAGTAATTATATTGCTTACAAATTAAATTAAACCTGAGTCTTTGGTTTTAAAACATCTTGTAAAAAGTACCTGATAGAAAACAAGAGCAAGCTGAAACAAATATATGCAAAACAGTCTTATCTCTTAAGGCTATTTGACTTAACAACATCATATTTTTTGAATTTCTAAAATATATTAATTACTTACTTACATATACACCTTACTTTTCCAGTCACTACTTAAACAGAAAGTTCTAGCATAATGCACAATAAATATACAGTTGATTTTCTTTTGAGTAGGTAAATAACTGATGAAATACCTTCAGCAAACTTTTTTTTTTATTATTATATACTAGCAGCTTAGCTGCCAGCCTTCGTCTGGCTTTTAAATGTACCGGAAAAATGGCTGAAGGCAAACGTTAAATTTAAAAACTGCATAAAATTTTACTCTGCAGAACAACTTCGTAAAAAAAGGTTATTACGTATAAAAAAATTACAATGAAATAAGCAATATCCCTTAATACAAAAATTAATTATCCTAATAAATAAATTAACCAAATTCCCTTTGCAAAATCTTAAGAACTCAAATGGTATAAAGGAGGTTAAGAACTTTGTTTCCTAAAACAAATCACTCCAAACTTTTCATTATCTTAAAAACAGTTAAATGAGCAATAAATAACATAAAAGAATAATTAAAAAAAAATTCCGAAAAGCAAAGTATAATTAATGATATTTTATGTTATATTTTCAAGAGAAAAAAATTAGGTGCTACTTTGGTAGACGGTTGCACGGATTTTTGGCGATTTACATTGGCGCAATTTTGGCGCGGTTTTTATAGTCATCAGCCATCTTGAAAAATGCCGTTTTTACCTATTTTACACATACAGTAAAGTATCAGAAACTTTAAAAAAATAAATATCGTTAAAAATAATGAATTAATTTTTTGTCGAAAACGTTGTTTTTTAAGGTGGCTGGCAAATGTAAATAAATACATTTACTAAGATTATAAAATGCTAAAGTAAGGTTAAATTATTACTTTCATATAATAGAATAAAAACACTGCTATAAAAACATTGCGCCAACATTTAATTGGATTAAAATATTGCTTAAATTGAATATCGAATTAAAAACATCATACCAACATTTAAAAGAATTAAAATATTGCTTAAATACTTTAAAATAAGTTTTATAGGATTTAATTATTTAACATTAAAACATATGTGGCAATAAATATCTCAGGAATTTTTGAAAACATTATATTAATTTTTTAATAAAAGTTGAAGTATACAATTATATAGTAAAATAAAATTATGTACTTACATTTTTTTAAAGTATTTTACCTGTCGTATATTGATAAATACCAGAAGGAAAAAAAAAAAAAAAAAAAAAAGATCTTCATCTGTGATCCACATCTCTCGCACTTCATTGGAGAAGCAATTAGCGAGGTTTTCTCGAAAAATTTAAAATAAATTTCCGCTGACGCTATTAACAATTTAAATAAATATTTTATTAGGAAAGCCAGGTTGGCCAAAATAAGGTCTCAAAGGGCAATTTTTTTTATTCTGATACCAATAATTCTTGGTAATTACCAATAACAACATTCATCTTCGAAACGGACATATCCATTCTACTTGAAATCTGAGGAATTCGAAGAGATGAATAATAAAATTTTAAAATGATGCGGTAATGCACAAATATTCAGTAACCAATAAAGGAGCTGATTACATTACGCAGAGAATTAAAATTATTTAAATAATCATTCATAATAAAATCATTTTTAAAACAAATGCAAAATTAAATTGTATTTTTAATATTTAACAGCCATAAATAATGTTTAAAACATTAGATTAAATTTATATATATTAATAAAATCAATTATGTTTTAAGTAAGGTGACGCCATTGATTACATCATCCACAACATAAAATTACATAAAATATTATAAACAACAAAATTTTTATTTCAAATAAAAATGCAAAATTTAATTGATTTTTAATATTTAGAAGCCATAAATAATATTTCAAACACGGAATTTATGCATAATAAAACGCATTATTTCTTAAATAAAATGACAACAAAGTATCGGTTACCATAAATAACTTATCCAGCAATGAGTTTACCATAAGTCGTATTAGTCGAAGAAAAAAAAAATTGCCAAAATCCGTGCAACAGTCTACCAAAGTAACACCAAAAATTACAATGAAATAAGCTATATCCCTTAATACAAATATTAATTATCCTAATAAAAAAAATTAACCATCTTTCCATTGAAGAAAAAAAAAATCATGCAAAACTTTTCAATATCTTACAAACAGTGAAATAAGCAAAAAAATAACATGAAAGAAACTCAAAAAACAAAAAAATTCTGCGCAGAATTTTACTCTGCAGAACAACTTTATAAAAAACATCAATAAAAATGTATTATATATATAAAAAATGGCAATGAAATATGCCAATTTCTTAAAAACAGTGACATAAGAAATACGATGAAATGCCAAACCCATATTTCTAAAAGAATGAAACTATTAAAAATGATGCGATTTCATCAAAAATCTATCAACAACAATAAGAAAGGAAAATTGTTGCCAAAATCACATTTGTAAATATGTGAGAAGTGTACTCGGAAGCTTCATTTAAAAAAAATTTTAAAAATGCAAAATATTATCCTTTTTCAAAAATTCTTTTTGTATAAGCAGTTGCAAGGATGAAAGTTTAATGTGTCCAAAAATCAAAGAAAAATAAACTGTACATTTTTAAACATAAACTTTTTAGAAAAAATCCCGTTGAAAACGTGTTAAGCTCACTTTGTAAAATAAATTCGTATTTAATTGATTTATTGAAACACGAAATTTATTTTAAGTTAGTAAAATAGCTAAGTGCCTACATTTCATGATGATGTGAAAATGTAGTGTGTAGAGTAAAATCTCGCTTTCCTATAGCCCATTATGTCTCAAAATGATGCTATTTCGTCACAAAACATAAAATAAAAAAAATTCTAATTCTAATTTCGAAAAAAATCACTTCGAGGTGCACTAGCTCTTGTCTAGATGCACCTATGTACCAAATTTCGTAGCCATGGGTCTATTAGTTTACGAAAGACACACACACACAGCGCGAACGAAAGACACACACACACTGACTCTTTGTTTCATTATATGTAGAGATATAGCTAATTTCTTTTCATCACTGTCAATTGCCAGAAAAGATTAAGCATTTATTTATTGTAGAGTTATCTATGTTTATGATTTTTGGAGTATAATATTACTCAAAGCTGCTACTCAAGCTCTAATCCAGAAGTTTTTTTTTTTTTTTTTTTTCTTTTTTTAACTTCATGCACCCTTTCCATCATTGCTAAACAATCATTCCCCCTCCATTCCAAAACATGAAAAATACATTTATTTAAATTTAGGTTATTAAACAAAAAATATTAAAAAAGTTGATAAATACCAAAATTGGATTTTTTTTTTTTTTTTTTTATGTTTATAAACTAAATACTTAACAGGCAAATAAAATGCTTACTGCATTCCCTCCCAGAACCAAGGAAATTCCCTCTTATCGATTGAGAACCCCTGCTTTACCTTTAATGAAAAAATAATTTATAAAATAAAATAAACTTAAGCACATAAAATTAAATGCTCGATCACAATTCAATACATCCTGCAACAAAGTAGGATATCCAGAACAGATCATCAGCTTTAAATAATTCTTACTTAGCAATTGACCATGTTCTATAGCATTTACCCTTTCATAACTAAATTACCTAAATATGAACATATGATCCAAATGAAAAATCGCCATTACTAAACTATGTAATTTTTTTTCACATTAATTTCCTAGATTAGGAATATCAGTGAGTTAGCTTTTTTTTTTTTTTTTTTTTTTTAAGATAATAAGTCTAAGGACAGTAAAGATTACTTTTTATACTAAACAAAGGTGAATATTCAAGAGAAACAATGTCATTCGATGACAGCATTGAATACTTTGCACATGAAGAGAGTAAAACTGAAATTAAATTTTTACAAGTTCTATCACCTGCTATAGACCTTAAAACTGAGCCAATAGTAGATGGCACATTTACTCATGCTGCCTTTCACAACAGCTTTCCTTGCAGAAAAAGAAGTATGATTAGAAGAAAACTTTGATTCTCCTCATATTAAAATCATACTAATATGACAGCATTAATGCTTACTCCTGGCGCATTCGAAGACAAGAACTCTTACTTTCCCCTCCCCCAATTTGTGACTCTACAGTTCGAATACAGAATTTTTCCACTTAAATTTAGTCACAGAATCTTTTAATTGCCTTTACAGTGCAAATAATAACACTAACTGGGGGGGAGGGAGATAATTTTTCTTGATTCAAGGTCAAAAAGTAGATGCTGAAAATTAAATTTTCTGGTGCACATGTTTTGACTACTTTCATATGAAGCAAGTAAAATGTCAAGAAAAATCTGTTAATGCTCCCACTTGCTTAAGAGGGGTTCCACCTTCTAATAGATTGAATTAGTACAGCATACTGCTAGAAGCATCACATTGGTTCCGCAAGTAAAATGTTGCACATAAGATTCAATCTTTTCAATTGGTTCTGCATAAAGCTATTTCTAGGAAATGTTTTTAGCTAACTTCAAGTTGCCTTATTTTAATCTGAATACTCTATATTCTTTTGACTGGTTGATTAATTAGCAACTTGGCTCATAAATCAAAACTCGCACTAAATTAATAATTTAGCACAATTCAATCAAACTTACTAAATTAACAGTAATAACAGCACTAAGCAACATTCTGGATCAAATAATATGCTGCACGGTACAAAGTTCGAAATCCGGACTCGTCAAAACGTTGGCGACTCCGGATTTGGGATTTTCCCGGATATTAGACCGACAGTTTAAATCTAATAAAATGGAATGTAGAAATTATAAAATTAAAAATATGAAATCGTGATTTATGAAATAATGAAGTACTTATGATCTAAAGGGTATCAAAATTAAAAAAAAAAAAAAAAAAAAAAAAGGAGGAGGCATAATATTTTTTGTTTATCTTATTAAACATTTCTTTCAATGTAAGTTGTTTAAGTTACTTCGTTTTTTATGATAATATTTTCTCTTTAATTCTGTAGACAGACATAATCTCTGTTGAAGTCCTGTAACTGCCGTGTTGAGAATTCTGACTAATTTGTCAAGAGAAGTTTTCTTTTTCAGTAACTTCTCTGTCACTTCTTCACTATTGATAGCGGTATTTTCTGGATCTAGAACCATACTACAGATTTCGCCATTCATTGATTGATTGATATTGAGAAGCATTGTCATCACAATGAAAAACTTCTTTTATATCATCTTAATTTCTTTACAAAATCCATTAATTGGAAAATTTCACCTTTGTTTTGCGATATCCGAAAACCTTTAAAATTAGCGGCTATCATCATCAAATTTAGCTATCCTTCACTATACATATTTGGCTATGCATCATGAGCTTGGTCACTAACGACAAGTTGTTCCATTAAATTTTATCTTGCTTCTATTGCACACTGTGACAATTAAGCTTGAATTGTATTAGTTTAGTTATTTATTATACTTATGTCTATTTCTTGCACATGCTTAAGGCTTATCAGAGTTCTGAATAGATAAATTCTCACATATACTTAAGCCTTATCGAGGGCCGGCGCTAGATATCTTACCGCTTATCTCTGTGGGTCCTAAATTCTGCGAGCATTGCAGTCTTACAAGCCCTGGTTTTATGTGAATAACAAATCGGTTATTCTTAATTCCAATAGCCCTAAATGTAATCTCTGGGTCTATTAGTATCATCAAGAAAATCTATTTTTAGCATATGGAAAGAAAATTTTGTTAAACTGTTCCTCGTCAACATTTTTTAGCACATCAACTTAAATCTGTAATCATCGCCAAGCGTAATGTCAACATAAAAGTTACCATACTCCTTTGTTATTAAATTACTAACATTAAAAAAATTGTTTAGGCATCGCTACATTAGTCATTACTCAAGTTGTCATGTGTTGATAAACATGCGGCGATGAAAGGAAAGTATAATAAATAATAATTCACCATGCTGGCGTCAAATCAATGATGTATCTATGTGGAAAGTTTTTGTTTGAGATGTGGGCCAAACAGATACATAGCAACAGAGCCAAATTACAGATCATACAAATTTATGCTAAAATGATTGTTTCTTCAATAACAAGGTATTTTATTTAGTGTCGAAGTGAAATTAAGAGTCAGGACTCTCCAGATGTTTTATTATGCGCAGAGGGGTGGGAACAAATGCGTAAAGCCTACGAGAACACCTTATTGGTGGTTTTCAGGTCCAGATTTTAGATCATTCTGGATAATGGATGTTCGGATTACGGACTTGTATGTACATAGTTCTTTGAACTGATCCTGTTGAAAGCATTACAAACAACTTCTCTTTTTTTCAAGAAAAACTGCAGCTAGTATGGTGCCAATTCCAAAAGTTTACCTTACCTAGTAAAATCCAAATCAATTACAGCTCTTGATGCACTGATATGTGCATTTACAGAGGATAAGTATAGTAGTTTAAAGTTAATATAACAGGCATTGCAATTACAGAGGCAGCTTAACATACATACAGCACAGTATACGCTAACTGATGTAAATATCATATTGTCCACAAGATAAGTGGTCTCAAAATGGTGGCCTGAGAGCTGCAATTGGCCACCAAAGCAATTTTACATGGCTCATGAATCCCTTTCAATCATGTATTTGTTGCTTATAGTGTTAGAGGTACTGAGATATGGACACTGAATAATTTATATTTGACTGCTGTTGAATGGAAGAAATAAAATGAATAAGTTTGGACTTTATTTCTGTCACTGTATTTTGCCACCAGGCAGTGTGACAGGTATAGTGAAAGAACTTCTTGCACAATCAATAAATTTAGATGGCCAGCTAACAGCTGATGACAGTTCAGTATTCTGGTATTTCCCCCTTTTTTTAAATAGAGTTCCTACTTCTAATGTATACTTTTCTTATATCAATAAATTATTATATATACAATTTCTGGAGTCATGTTGCTATATAGACAAAACCAAATCAATGCATGGCCTATTTATTTGTGCTTTTTATTAGATCTACCTTATATCAATACTTACATTTGGACTTGCACATAGCTTTTGAATGCTGTTTCTGAACAAACATTTCTTTCAGGTATAAATCCTTATATTTTAAATAGAAAATAAATATAAATTTGTATTTTTTCTTTTGCATTATTTAGTAATATCGCATTATGCAATTTTTGATAAATATTTAGCAAGTAAAATTTGAAATTTAGTTTAAAAAATTATTCTATTTAAAAAAATAAGGCCCATCAAGTGCTTTTAGATCATGAATTTGGGCTACATGCAATTTGAGTCTGAGACCAATGCACTAAATATATACATATCTAAAATAGTAACCTTTAACTGTATTTTTCTTTTCTTTAACCGCATACTTAATTTTACCTCACAGCAGCATTCCTGAAACTCCATTTGCAAAATGATACTGTAATTGCATAATTAAATGAATTGCTAAATACAAGAAAAAGAAAAAAAAAAAAAATTCAGATTATGTATTACACAGCGAGTTTAAGTAAATAAAGTCTGCAAAATTAAACAAAAGGCCCTGTGTGTTTAACAGTTCTTAAATTTGTTAAAAAGCTTGTTTTTAAATCTTAACCCTGCTTCTAAATTATAATGTATAGTAAATGCGTAAAATAAATTTGCTTGAAGAAAATTCCTGATTAATTAAACAATCTAGCATAAGATTTTCGTAACATATAAAGAAGAATGTGAAAAATGTCACTATAAATATTAAACCATCTTACTTAAAAAATAGAGCTCCTATAGGTAAAAACGCAAGAGTATTACGGATATTTTCATCATCTGCTAAAATTCGAATTATTTCACCCATTTCTACATCTCCAGAACTAGAGATTATCTCTAGAAGAAAAGAAAAATAATATGAAGTTAAATTACATACACATAACAAACAGATCGCTAAAATAATTTTCATTTTAAAACTACATAAATGACCCTTAATTTAATATTGATTATTGCTCTTTGATTTAGTATTAAAAAGTTGATTGTTTCACATAAAATTATAATTTTGCAATAATGAATCTTCACAGACATAACATACAGACATGACAGAAACACATTCTTTCACTATTAACACTTCTAATTCTAAATGTAGAAACAGATTTACAGGTATTAACAAATTTGAATTTCATATCTTCTCAATGTACAATTATCTTTTGGTAATGATTTAACACACAATCTACTTCATTTAAGAATAAGCATAAAACTTAAAAAGTTGCTTATACAACGCCTTGAAAGAGTTTTACATCAAACTTTATTTTAATGATCCATGCACTTTTTTATGAACATTAGCTCTCTCTCTCTTTTTTATTGGGGGGGGGCAATATTATATAACTTTTAAGCCAATATGATACCAACCTGCCTTGGATAATCATACCAGATTAGTAAAAACAGTCACTGTGGTCTTTCAAAATTAAATAAAGTAAAACTGTTAATCTATTCAAAAAGGCTTATGTCAGAATATGATACATTTTGCAGAGCAGAAACATCTGCAATTTTGCATGTAAAATCACTTGACAGAATTTTACGCAAGCACTAAAAGAATATTATTGAAATAGACTTTTGAAACACATAATATAAATAAAATTAGTGTGTCTATATATGCACTTTTTAATGTGCAATGTTCATCATCTAAGCTGTCTCCCAGAAATATTATACATTGCGTACTTTACCCCTTCCTAATTTTCTATCAGTAAAATTAGTAGAGAGAGGGAGAAAAAAATATGGTAAAAAGTATGACATTAATGGTATTATTTTTACTCAGTCAGATGTAGAAGGTTTTTGTGCTTTTATGCATTAAATAATATTGTTTGGCATCTTTTGGTGAGTGATACCTTTTTCTTGGGGAGGGGGACCATTAAATTTGCTTGTTTCTCTCAATATTCCATGCAAAACAAGATAAAGCTCGATTGTTTCTCTAAAGCAGTTATTCTAGTCGATTCCAAAGCAGCCATCTAGACTGTACTCATAAATCATGACACAGATACCCACCTTGAACTTTCTTTATGAACACAATAAAACAATTGTTTTTCAATGGATCCCTTAACATGTAAGTATCAACGGTAATGAAAAAGCAGACTCACTAGCCAAGTAAGGAACACTTGCGCCACAAGACAGCAAACCCCTTCCCCAGTCACTTAAAAAGCATATTTTTGAGAAATTAATGCATATTCTTAAATCTGACCAGGCAGCAGAATCAACAGGCAAATCCTGGGCTAACATTCAAGGCCCATGGAAAAAGTTTTGTCGAAAATCCTGTAAAGAGACTGTGGCAAACTTCAGCCTATAAACAGGTCCCGATTGCATGGCATATCTTAATAAAATTGGCATCATTCCATCTAGTATATGCCAAATTTGCAATTCGGGCATCATGAATTCAGAGCATCTTCTTATATGCCCAGAACTAGGTAAAGTCTCAGAAACGTGTTGAGATAAGTAAACTATATTGGAATGTCAGAGCTTTCATGAACTCCTTGTAAAGATTGCATCTCTTAAGTTCTTTTCCTCGTTGTTTAAATTTTTAACTTTTTACTTTTGTTCCCATGTTCATTTATTCTAAATCTTACTTTATAAATGTTTGTCCTTTTTTTATTATTTATCATTGTTCTTGTGTGATACTTGAGCTGTTTTATGTTTGGATTGATCTTTCCAATAAAGTCACATGTAACAACGTAATATTAAAAATATAGAGAATAAAAAGAATTATTATAAATATATCACAAGCTCTGTGATAACTAATAAATTTAAATTACAATAATTAAAATATACAGTAATTTTAATTAACAGATTAATAAAATTATTTGCTTAATTCAGAATCACAGCATATTAGTTACTTATATCCCCCACAAATAAGAGGTGAGAATTTTTTTAATTTATTCAAAAATAGTGATATTTGGTAAACAGTAAATGATAAAATCTAAATAATGCACTAAAATATATTAAAGAAAGAGAAAAGTTTTACATAAAAAAAAAAAAAAAAAAAAAAAAAAAAAAAAAAAATTGAGTTTTCAAATTTATTTCAAAAACTTATATTAAGCTTTGAGCCTTAATTAACTGTACCAAAATCTGAGTAAAATTTATCTTACAGTTACAAAAAATGATGAAGTTGCTTTAGTTAACAAAGTTTACATAGTCAAATGTGTCATTATATTCTGATTTACACCCACTTAGAAAACAACCTAGTGAAAAAGAAACTATATGCCTTAGAAAGAATTAATTTCTCAAATGAATACGATTTTATGGTTCTTTGTTTTCTATACAATACAGTTCTCTGTGTTCTTTTGGTAGTTTTCTTTTTAAACTAAACAATTGTAACATACACATTTTAAAACTATTGCAAAAAATATCTTTCCAAATTTAGCCAACTTATATCATGGAAGAAAACATTTGGGCCAATATTATGCATTACTAACAAGTCTGAATATTGGTGAAAATATCAACTAGTGATATGTAATTAAGTGACCGATATTTTTTAAACATGACGATGCTATTCTTTTGCCTATCATGGCAATAAAAAAATGATGTCTGTGGTAAACTATTCTCACCCAATTTATGTTAAAAAAAAATATGTTGGAAGGGAAACTCAAAATGCCATTTAATCTTTCAGTCTGACTGTTTGAAAACACTGCAGAAAAGTTCCCAGATGTTCAAAAATACTGTGGACCTTTATTGTGAATGAAATTATCAACATTTTTATTAAGACCATTAAATTTATTTAATGAGAAGACAAGATGGAGAGCTATATATACAAGAAAGAATACAGGTTTTAAAATCTTTTTTGCGCCTAAAATCAAACGAAATTAAAGCCTAGTCCTTTTAGATGCTCATCAGATTAACAAAACGAGAAAAAAAACAGAGAAAGCATAGTCTAGCAGAAGTTTTATTTTATCAAACTGGAATATTTTTATTTCATTTTCATTGATCTGAAATGCATATAAACGTTTGATTCACTGTCTACAAAAGCATAATCATTCCCAACAATTTAATAATGATCTCATTTCCAGATGATAGTTAATTTCTCTGCATAATATTCAAATACTAGAACTGAGATAAATGCTTCTTTCACACAGTACAAATACGTATTACAGTTATGGTATTGTATTATTACATTGTTATGAAAATAATAATTAGGCCTTTACAATAGCCTTTATTATACAAGCTGTGACCTACGGTTCATTTAAACAGGATGCAAAAGACACAGTAGACAGAATTTTTAAGTTGAAATAGCACATGACTGCACACAAGTGAAATACAAAGAAAATCAAAATCGCAACAAAAACCTTGTATTTAGCGTACATATATTAAAACAATCGATTTCGAGAGCAGCTAAAGGTCCTCGAAATTGATTGTTTTAATATATGTACGCTAAATACAAGATTGTTATTGCGATTTTGATTGTCACACTAGCGTGTTTCTCTTCTATTCTAATACAAAGAAAGTTTACAAGAAACAAATTTTAAAGAGAAAAATACTTGAATAAAAAGAAATAAACTAGCTGGTTTTACATGTGCACAGAAAACTTTTTTTCAGGAAATATTTGAAAAGAACTACAAAAAAGGAGCCAAGAAAAAAAAACTAATTAGAAAATTGCTTACATAGGAAAATGAAACAAATTAAAACCAAGTGCGAATAAAACTACAGCGAAAAGATGATAAACTGAATAAGATCACTGAAAATCTTTGAAGTTCGACAAACATTTTCATTTCAAAAATGCTTATTTTTAACTCAACCAATCCCACAGATTTTACTATTTTACCAATTTCAATCTATGATTTTTTTCATCTTAATTCATTCATTAAACTTAATATGTTTGAAATTATTTTAAAAATTTGATTTTTATCTATCTGTATGTTTATTTTCAGTTAACTGGTAATGTGATAACCCCCTTTGTGCCATATCATAAAAATGTAAATTTATTACTGTTATTGTCATGAAAGCTACAGAAAATATTAAATATAATTGTAAAATTTGTTTTAAAATACAATAAATCAATAATATTTTAAGTCAATCTATATAAACATTTTACTCAACATGTAATACAAAAACAAATTTATACTTTATTGGCTTCATTCAGAAACAAACAACAGAAAGTGATTCAAATAAAAAGTATGGCTGATCACAACAGCCTACAATAATAAAACAAAGTCCATTTTATACCTCTCGTTCGCTTTTCTAAAATTTTGTTAATGTCTTTATCTCGTTGAATAATCTCTTCAGATAATTTTGGAGCTCCTGGGAGAGCAACAAGTACAATGCTCATATTATCTTTACTTCCCTAAAAACAGATTTCAAAGTTACTTGAAATGCAAAAAAATATATAATTTAAATACAGGGGAAAATTATTTAAAGACATCAGTAAAAATAAATATTTTTATCTTATAAGAACCCTATCTTTCTTTAGAAAATATTATTTATAATTTATTTAACATTTTAAGTACTTTTTCCTAAATTCTTTGTACAAAAATTTATGAATAAAATTTTAAAAAACAATGCTAGGATAATTTTGAGTTTATACCAATAATAATGAAGTTATTTTTCGATTTCAATAAAAAATTTTAAATGATTGGCTTGAAATCGAAGATCTGTAAAATGTCCCACTGAATTCATTGATAATAAATACACTGATAAATATTAACAACATTAACTAAAAATTAACAGGCAAGGCTTTGACTATAGCTTAAATATCCATGAAATGCTCTAAATAAGCAACAGATCTAAAAACTACAAATTATCCCCCTCCCAAAAATTGTGGCATGAATCAGAACAAGCTTTCAAGCCTAATTCAATCACACCAGGCATATAAATGTCAGAGAGTCTTGCCAAAGCTGCAAATAAAAGTATTAATATATTTAATTCATACTGGAATAAATTAGAAACAATATAATTTTGATACGTCATTTTCAATAAGACTAAATTTAAATGAAACTGAAACTCTGTCTATGAATTCTTGCATGTGTAATGTTATATTCCCTTTAGTACAAACATTGAATTATCTAGCATATGATCATATAATATGCACAGAGATTTAAATGCCAGAAAAATATACTTTGAATTTACATATTGAAATGAAGGGACATGCAATCTCAGAAATGAGTCAATATTTAATTTTGTCAGCATTTTGATGAATCTTTAAGAATGACACCTTAGAAATGACATGGTAGGTTTATAAGGAGAATATACTTCTTCAATTTAAAGTTCAAGAGTTTTAAGAGATTCAAAGACCAAACATGATGATAATGAACATAATTCAGTAGCCATCATTTCAAAATAGAATCTTGAAAACATGCCAGAAACTGTGGTAACAACCTTGGAATCAACTAAATGCATAACAAAAGGAAATGGGATTTCAATCGGAAACTATCATGCAATCCTAAAGCAAACTGAAGAGAGTGCATCAACGTAACTACTTTTTGAAACTTAAAATAAAAATTAATGAAATAAAAAATAAGAGAAAACTACCTCCCTGAGGCAGTACACAAGGAATAGATGATTCTGCATAAAATAAACAACATTAAAAAAAGAAAATGAAGATTAAGCAATGTATTAGAGTCGATTATCACCAATGTAGAAGTCTCTAGCATTTTGAAACAGCTGCTTGAAAAATACAGAGGCAGAAGTGTTTGAATAGAAAGATCAGCACTAAACAATTCCATCAAATATTAAACACAACAAGGAATATTATATCGTAGCATTTAACCTAGACAACCTTTAGATTTCAAAGATCGGATTTTCCAGATTTTTCTTTTTTTTTCGGGGGGGGGGGGTGATAAATCTAAAGAAGAAATAAGAATATTTAAAGCAATCATAAAATTTATGTACGAGCTTATAGTATGCAAATTCTGGAATTAGAGTGCAACTAAAACAGCAAAATTGATTTGGTAATAAAATATTAAAAATGTATGGAGCTAAAGTCAATACAATAATACTGTCCAATAATATATCCTAATGAAACTTGCCCACACATACATTGCTGAAAAGAATCAAAACTATAAGGACAGCAGTATACCGCTTTGTTTTTAATATCCAGAAGATGAGAATATACACACATTCAGCGGCTACGGAATTGTCCCCATGGCATAATTAACACTCTCAAAAATGAAATGAACTATTATATACATACCTAGACAAGACATATAGGAGGTTAGCTAAAACTGCATTTAATTCTATTACAACTTTTCACAATTACAAAAGTATAATGATCTTGTAACAAATGGTTTATTATATATCTATATGAGACGAGTTCCTACCATCATTGAAATGAATAAAATCAGCAATCATTTTAGCACTATTAAAATAGAATTAGTTAAAAATTTTATATGAGACATTAAAATTGAATGGAAATAATTAACATACTGATATCATCCATGTTATTACACCCAGCATGACAACAAAATTTGAACTTACAAATGCAATCAGTATGATTCCTTTATCAGGACCACAAAAATTGCCAAGCTATTCTTGACATTAAGGATGCCAAAAATAATTATGCCAGGAAAAGAAAAATAACACTGAAATATTTAAGAGCTTTTTTTAAGTTGCTTTAGTTAAAGGGTTAATTTCATACAGTTTTTTTTTATTACAACGTATTAAAAAGGGCAAAACATAACAGGGTTCATACACATTTCTGCACACGAAAATTAAGTACTCTTAAGGACCATTAATGAAAAAAATTAAGGACATATAAGCAAATGGGAACTGAATAAAATCAATTAAAAATATTATCTATGTCTGAATTTCACTTTTGTAAAACCATCCTAAAAATAAAATAGATCCTTAAGTAGTATGCATTATTACTAAACATGAATTAACTTAATTATTAATAAGTTTGAGAATAAAATTAACTTCATGCAATTTATCAAGTAGCATTAAATATTTTACACGTATAATAGTTGGACATATTTGAAAGAAGATAAGTGACATTTACATTTTACTAACAGTTGGCTTAATGGGTTTTTTTTTGGGGGGGGGGTCTCATTTTTTCACATACTTGGTCAGTCTACACTCTAGAGGTTTAGTAAACAGCAGGTAGATTTTTATGTCAAACAGGATAGGTTAAAATGAGAAGTTAGATCATAATCAGCGTGATTCATAACAAAAGACTAAATGTTGTCACCGCTGCTGTTTGTCTAGAGAGAGACCTACTGATTAGAAAAAACCTGAAATGCCTGATGTAGGCACAGTTGGCAAGTGTTGAAAGTTTGTCAGGATCTGTTTGATGCAGTTAGTGTCATAGCTTCGTGAAGAGTTCCAGGGGTTTTAACTCAGGTAATATACTTTAAGGTTTCAATAAGCCATTAAAGCACCAGAGGTGATAAGTTGTTTTGTATTATTTTAAGTCTTTTAAGTCTAAGTATATGCTAAGAATAAGTTTTACATGAACTTTTACATTTTTGTAGTTTATCTTGTAAACACAGTGAGTATTAATGAAAGGCACTCACTTTAATATGTAGATATAATTTTTAATGGTAAGCAGTTTAGTTATAAATAACTAAATTAAATAGTTTGATAACCTTAGTCATTATGGATTTGCATGGCCACTATTAAATTTTATTTTTTTTAACAATATTTGTTAAAAAAGCCCTATTAAATTCAAAATCTAATGAAATTTCACAGTTTAAAATACATGTGATTTATGGCATTGATTCTTAAACGATATTAGGATAATTACACATTAAAAGCTACACAACATTTATGTTTTGTAAATGTTTTGTAACAACAACACTCAACAAAATATTTATCAATCATTTTAATTTGAAGCCTTCCCAGACATTTTGGCTAGTTTATATCGATTTCCTTATCTTTAAGCATTTTTCTAACAATTAGAGATTTGTCTCAATAGCTCTCACTAGTTTCTGCGCGCTTTATCTCCTAACCTGTCAACCTCTTTATAATGTATCTATGAGGGCTTACTTAACCTGATAAAAGTTAAATAGTCCAAAACCTCCGACAGACGTGAAGCATGTTATCACTATGTCTGAAAAAAACTATAATATCAGACAAAGGTTTAAATAAATTTCTTATTTAAAAAGAACTTAGAACATAAAGGCATGTTCTGATGCTAACAAAATCAATTACAGCTCACGGTGACATAATTAAACAAGATCAGTCAAATTCAAACTAAAAATGTGGACTAGTGGTAAAAGATTATACAATTTAATTTTAATTTAATCTGGCTCAGTAACTCTATCATACGAGGAAAGAGAAATGGGACATTATAGTAATCATAAACAATTGAGTAATTTACATAATAATAACTGCACATATCTTTTAACAATAATTTTCTTTATGTATTCAGTTTCTTTCTTTAACACGTTTCCTTTTCATTTCAGAATTTTTGGATTTAATTAAGGATTTCTGTTATTCTAAAAAACATTAAATGCATTTAGAATGTACAGAAAAAATGGGTAATTTTATTTTTTTAGTAATATGAACATTCAGAAGAAATATGAAATATATATGGTAAAGGCCGGTTACAGAGCTGATGTGGCAGAATTTAGACCAGGCATTAGAAGCAGAACTTAAAAAAAAAAAAAAAAAAATCATCAAAAAATTCTCAGATCTCGGAATTAAAAATTTTCTATAGAAACTGATCTTAAAATCACCAAACTGTTGATGAGTTGCCAAATTTTGAACCGTTCAATAAAAGAATTCACATCCCGAAAAGCGAAAAGGTGTTTAAGAGCTCTTTATTAGATAAAATGAATTTCGAAATGCTTATGTTTTACTTCTTGCTTAGATATTCGAGTATCCCATCATTTATACTAGAAATAGAAACAAATTATAACCTATGAACACATTCAAAAGATAACCATATACGTCAGTGAATCGCCAAAAATATTCCTCCAAAATGCTAATTCACACTCAAAATGGCAGTCGTAAAACCAGACAGAAATTTCAGATGATTAAAATTAAGGACCTTCTGCTGATTTTGGCCAAAATTAAGGACTTTTAAGGACCAATGACCAATAATTTTTTTTAATTGATTTAAAAAATCTAAGGACATTTAAGGACTCTTAAGGACTGTACGAACCCTGCATAATTACAACTAAATAAGAGGAAAACATTTTTTTAATCTTTCAGCATCGCACTGAATTTTTTTTTTTTTTTTTTTACATAAATTAGGACAAATAGGAACTGATGTGCTGCCGTGCAGCACCTCAATGGTGTTTGTTATATCATTTAGCATTGTCACACAGCTGCTCTGTTGTTCCTGAGAAATACCTACTTTTGGAGTTCACAAATTATATTTGTCTTTGACTGTAAAATGTTCAAAGC